CTCTCAGATTTGTTCATTTGTAATGATATCTTTAATTCTCTAATTTTGGTGAATATTTTTGTCATTTTTGGTAAAAAGTGATATTTTCGACTTCTTGTTAAAAACCGCAAGTCCGATTGCTTTGATATTACATATATAGGTACTACATGTGGACCTCTCAGATTTGTTCATTTTGTGATGATATCTTCAATTCTCTAATTAATTTATTTTGGTGAATATTTTTGTAATTTTCGGTAAAAAGTGATATTTTCGACTTCTTGTTAAAAACTGTAAGTCCGATTGCTTTGATATTATTCATATTGTTCATTTTCTAATGATGTCTTCAGTTCTTTAATTGAAATGTGCATTGCTAACAGCGGAGCTATCTCAGCCGATAGGCTGCTTGTTTTTTTTTCAAACTTATAATCAATATATAACGTAATAAATACAAACACCAAATTAGGCTCTATTTAGTTCCACTTTAAAGACTTACATGTATAATCATAATGTCTTTTTTGTTTTGTACAAACATCAACTTTTGATCGTGAATTATGATTTAATCTCAAGGGACCAATCTGAAGACATCTGCCCTTTTGGACCGCTCACGCAACGACTGATATCAGCTTTAGTTGAAGAGAACATCATGACGCCATTAGATGATCTTACACTTATTGACACTGGGTCAAAGGTGAGTTATTATATTATACTCACTGATTATGGTGTGAAATTTTCATTAATATCAAGTGTGGAGCCAGGTATTTACCACTTGTGCTCATGTAGATGCAGAAGAAAGTGTCAACAAATTCTTTATTTTTTTTGTCTCAGAGAAAATTTAAAAATATTTTCTTTTAATTTTTGTTTGTATTATCGTAATGTTATTCAATCCCACAAGACCATATAGGTTCTATATTTCACATTTATTTTAGATTTTTGAATACAGGCTGATTTGAATCAACAAACATGAGCATTGAAAGTTGATGTGGATTGACAAACTCTCTGCAACAGAGAAACAAACATTTTCTCTACTTTATATTGCTGTACCAACACATGCTGCACACAATGGCATGAAGCCTTAGTTCATTTGTGGATCTGCACCTCAATATAATGACAATTAATAAAATCTGTAAAAAAATTTTGCAAAATCGGGTATCAATGCTAACACTATATAACTATTTGATTTAATAACGCAGGAATGAGGTAGCCCTATTGAGGGCCATCGGTCGATTATTGCTAAATTTCAATACGGAGTGGATAAAATTATGGTGCTTTCTGAGATCTGAGTAAAAAAAAGTTAACGTTGGTATATGATCTATTTGATATAATGTGTAATTCAACAACATTTTTAGCTATGTTGAAATACTTTCATAATAGTAACTGCAAAGATGAGATTTGCTAAGAGAAACCAAATGTTTTTGACATTACACAGTCATCATATCATCTACACCATCAACAATACACATCCAATTTTATAATTTGCTGTTGACGTTTACAGCATAAGTTAGAAATGATGTCATGTTTTTATCACCCTTCATACAGGGAGACAACACTGGCAGCGAAGCGAATGCATCACCTAGAAATGGAAACAGACCATTCACAGTACCGCACACCAGAGCATTAGAAGCGAGAATCAGAGAGGAATTATTGTACCAAGGTAATACATTAAGGCAAAAAAATACACTTTTGATTCTCATCATCTTGCACGTCTGTTTGAAACCTTGCACCCCAAACGTTTGTTTCACATGCTGGTAAATTGCATCATATACAATGTACTTCAGAACAAGAAAAAAACAGTTGCACACATGGTTTATCAAATTTCCCCAGGAATTTTCTCAATAATATATAAGTGTAATATATTTTATTAAGTCTATAGAGCAATGACTGGAAGAAATGTTCTAGGTTTATATAGCTTAGTTTTTTTGCACACAAATGTTTTAAGATCTCACAGAAGAGGCATCAGTATAAACTTTGTTACTTAAGGTAGAATCCTAATTTTGAAAAATTTTTGTCATAAATGGCATGACTAGGTTCATTGTTTTATTGTGTACAATCTTGAAGCTAATTGCATTTTTCAACACTTTTTAAAACCCAGATGTTTTTTAATAATTGAGGACAACAAAAAGCACCTCATTTACAATATGTGATTTTTCACCAGACTTCAATTTAAAATGTGATGTAATATCTTTGCCATAGGAACCTATATATACCCCTGGTACTACCAAAATAACTTCTATCCACTAAAATACAACCATCATTTTCTCAAAAATTAGGCTGGTAACACCTAACATTTTTAAGTCAATAAGTCCTACTGATGTTGCCTTGGGGAACAATTTATTGCAAACTGAATCATTCTCATTTTTGCTTCTACCTTAACATCAATATTGCATTACCTACAAATCTGTCAATAACTTTGATGATGGCTGTATTGCAATTCACAAACAAACGACTAATTCAGACAACCTATCACTGTATATGTGTGTGTGAATCATAAGTACGTCTTCCTGTTCATGACTTTGTTTGTTTTTGTTTTTTAGGTTTATTGGATACAGACGACCAATTTGGTGAAGACACTGATGACGAAGTCTTGGCTGAATTAAAGAAACGACAAGCTGAATTAAAGGCCTTAGGTGCTTATAATAGATCCCAGAAACAGAAACTCTATCGACTGGCGAAAGAAGAGATGAAGAAACAGGAACTAAGACAGAAATCCAGGAGTATCGATAATGATGTATGTATCTAAATTTAACATGGTAAAAATTCTGAATTTTGTGGGTCTGGGATAAAAGTGACATTCTTTACCCATGAACACCTTGTAGCAGATATTTTAACTGTATGCATGATAGACAACTTGTTTTGATGCATTGTTACATTTTTAGCAAGAGGCAAATCAATATTAGGCGGTAATTTTTAATCATTTGAAAACATTCGTCAAAAACCTTATATACAATGGTGTTCTAATAACTTGCAATATCACTTACATGTTTATTTGGATAATTAATTAATAATAATAATTATAAAATAATCATAATAGTGACATAAAAATTATTGAACATTGAATGTTTTTTTGGTGATAAGCATGTTTGTTTGATGTCTAGCCTTTTCACCACTAGACTTTCTCACCCAGATTTGTCTGCTCTTTTTTTGTTATATTCTTAAATATTTCTGGAAATGAACCCTAATTCTGGAGCCAACATGCAAAATATGAGTCAATTTTCAGTTTTAACTCAAAAAATTCGGCTATTTTTGTCCTAATCTTCTGAAGGAAAGTGCAGACTATAAACAGGATTATTTTGTGAATTTGTGATGAAAAGAGGGAGCTGGTGATGAAAAGGCTTGATGTATTCCCGAGTGTTTGCTGTGAAATTTCCATTTCAATCATTTATTTGGGATTAAGTTTATGTTTTTATTGTGGGTAATAATCAATAAATAAATCTGAGAATGAATTTTAGTAAAAAATCATAATTATAGTAATTTATTTGTATTTTGTAGCCTAATCATATAACTTTATGATTTCTTTGCTAGGTGGTGGAAGCATACAGAAGAATACAAGCAGCCAGACAGAAGAAACGATCGCCAACTAAAAAAGAACGCGAGACTGCACTAAGAGCATTAAGAGAAAGGGAGGCTGTTCTTAAACTTTTAGATTCTTAAGTTAAATAGTAATTGCTACTATAGGGAAGGTGAAGTACTTTTAGTTAGTATAGATATGTGTATTGGAGAGATATGATAAACGATCCATTGAAATCATGTTATACATACTTATACTTGGAATAGTATTCTTAAATCCATATGAATTCCATGCACATGTCATTCCATGAACACCCAAAGAAAGCAAGGACTAGTTTGATTGTAGAAACAGAAATGATTGACTCGTGATTTTAATTCAAGAAGGCATCAGAAAAGACAACATAAGACGAACCATCGCTGTTTCTTTCACTTGTATCAGTGATTTATATCTTGTCACATCTTTTAGGCGTTCATTGCATATCACTCTAGTTCTATTCCCTTATTTTTTATCCACCTTTGATACTATTCTCACATGATTTGTGTTAGCTCAGTGCATGATTTCAATGAGATGTTCATTGCATATCACCCTAGTTGTCTACCCTTATCTATCTACCCTTGATGGTATATGTTTTAGTATTTGTTAGTAATAAATTATTGAACTTTATATTTAATGTTCTTCAAGCAGGATTTGATAGTAAGAATTTACCTCTTAAGACATGGTCATGAATTGACACGCTCACACTTACAGCACTGTCCTGTTTGTTGTTCTGAGCTTATAAGCCTCATTATGTTGAAAAGGGAATAAATGTGACTTTTAAATTTTTTGTTGCTTTTTCCTATATTCACACTGCTTTAGAGTTTACTGTGAAATGCTTTATTTTGGCTGGAATTAATTTTCACTGAAAAGACTTTGCGTTGTGTGTGGAATTTATTTTCACTGATTTTTGACGAGTTGAATGTAAAATATAGGAAGAAGGTATATTCGCTTGATTTTATTTTCACTGAATCATTCCTTCAGCGAAAATAGCAAAAATTAATTCCAAGTGAAAATAAAGTATTTTACATTACTTGATATTGTAAAACAAATACTGTAAAAGGATTAATTATTCACTGGGTTTTAATTTTGCTTAACTCAGCGACTGGAAAATGCGCTAAATTAAAACCCAGTGAATATGTAAAATTTAACACAGAACAAGTTATCTGAATGATAAAATCGTGAATATAAAAAACCCAATGAATATGCATAAAATGGTAAATCAGCGAAGTTTAAACCCAGAGAAAATTAGTAATTTTACAGTATAGCATTTGCAATACATGAGATGATATTTGTGCATATGCAATTTGAATTACCAGGCTTATTTGCATGATAGTTCCTCACTATTTCATTGGTCTCGCTAGCATACAAATAGTGAATGTGCTACAGCCACATCCTGTTCATGATGGGACTCGTAGTGATGTACTGTAGAATACTTTATTTTCGCTGAAGGGATGATTCCGTGAAAATAAAATCCAGCGAATATACTTTTTTTCCTATATTTCACATTAAACTCATCAAAAATCTGTAAAAATAAATTCCATAAAAAACGTCCAAAAAGCCTTTTCAGCAAAAATTAATTCCAGCGAAAAAAAAGTATTCCACAGTATACAACATTATTGACAACACAGTTTACATGAATACAGTACTTCCACTCGTGCATATTAATATTAATTCAAAATCCTAACGTGATAGTCAATGGTCAGACACAGGAACACCATTTATACTCCTCTTATCAAAATACACAGCTGGCTTATTCTTCATACAGTAGATAGCTGAAGTAACAATTTTTAAGCATTGCAGGACTCTGCTACAACAGATACAAGAATACAACAGATGCTTGAACACTGTATGTACTGGTACTTGTCTTGATATATTAAAGTTGAATATCAGATTTGCTACTATCAGTGACTGTAACTTAAGAGCAACTTTACCGTTTTATGTAATTGTGTTTTCAGTAGATTCAATCTTGTAGTGTTGAAAAGCAAGTAATAAAAGTGAAATTGTTAATCTTGCTATGCTTTTACCTGTCCATAGATTTGATTGATTGAATAAAACTGAGTTGAAATTGAGCAGTTATTCACACTATGCTTCTACCTGTCCACAGACTTGATTGGATGAAATTGAGTGGTGCATTTAAACTGGTCGCTTAACATAGTACTTTATTTTTCAACTGTGTGACATTTGTCATACAATTTGTAAGGAGCGGAACTTGGGATGAATTTGTTCATTGGCCATCACTAATATGTGTTTATTATAGATGTCTTTGAGATCTTACCCAAGAACTTGTGCTAAGGTAGATGCCTACGCATAAATGCAAATACTCAGAATTTATTGTAATAAATTGTATTCTCTGGCAATCGAATAATATTGTGTTGGGCATCACCAGCCTAATTTTGAGAAAGTGGTGCTTGTGTTTTGGTGGTTCGTGAGCATTTTGTCAGTGTTATAATGCATTTTCCATGAATGTTTCTAGCATGATAATTGTAGACTGGTGCCAACCATTTCAATGAATTACGATATTTCAAAAATCTAGGTTTTAAAATTCCTTTATTTCAAAAATCTAGGTTTTAAAATGCCAGTAAGTCTAAATGCAAAAAGTGTTCTGCTGAATTGTTTTAATAATAGCAATTTTTAAAAGAATACGTTGCTGTTACACACAAAAGAATGCCATTTCATGGTTTTAATGGGCAATAGCTCCATAATTGTACATAACCAATGAACAACTTTCTCAAAAATTACGAGTACTGGTAGAATTCTACCTTAATAGCTGTTACATTATATCCCAGTGTATATCCTATACCAAACACTTTCCTCATAATTTGTTTGACCTTTGTACTGCAAATGAGAATCACTCGCCCAAACCCACCACATCCAGGTAGATTACCCCCACTTCTTCCACCACCAATCATCAGATATTGTGTAGTTCATGCATAGAGTACTGTATAAAACTATTTGTTGTGTTTACATGACATACAAATTGGAGTTGTATTGCTAGAAAAATCCCTAGTTTGGTTCTAAAAATTTATAGCCACGTCCAAAGTTACCACCCTCAATGGTAGTGAGGGGTATAGTAGATATCATATTAGTCTCATTTCTGCCTAAGCTGCATCAGTACAGACTTTTGAGGATAAACTTGAACATTTTATTATTGTGTACCCTGACTTTAATTTCTGTGTCAGCAGAGTTGTGTTACAGGGGTTGATGACAGTTTAATAGTAATAATAGTTCCCTGGCTCTTGCAGCAGTGTCAGCCTAACAGTAGCCTCTGCCTAATTTGGTGGAACTTCACTTCAATGTGCTTGCCTTCTCCTTCTCATCAGTATCATCATCCTTTACTTTATCATCTTCGCATAGCTTCATTTCAGCTTGAATTCTGCCACATTCACCGGAGTCAGTTGAGATGCTTATTCAGATTCTAGTGCAACATCTTCTTTTTGTTACCATAACATAACAAGCAAGTCAGGGTTTAGTATGATCAGCATTCTGTAGAGTTTTTGCTTCCATCTGTGTGCTATGTTGAATTCAACTTTATTTGTTGTTTGTTGTGGTGAGAATGGTGTGTGAATTCCTGATACTGTAAAATGACTAATTTTCACTGGGTTTAAATTTCTCTGATTTGCCATTTCAGGCATATTCTTTGGATTTTAAATTCACGGTTTTATCATTTAGATAATGTGTTCTATGCTAAATTTTACATATTCACTGGGTTTTAATTTAGCGCATTTTCCAGTCAGCGAAATAAGCAAAATTAAAACCCAGTGAATAATTAACCCCTTTACAGTACCTGTATATTGACACAGCTTCATAATGATTTTCCACTCAAAGTTGCACCTCGATCAGAAAGCAACCTTTCAGGGAATAAAATATCATCAAAAGACTGTAATAGAAGTGTTCATCAGTTATCTTAGCTGATAGTATTGCAATCTAGGTGAAGAGTAATCAGAACAGCCTCGAAAAACAGAATCGGCAGCTGTGCAACCAATCAGTAGTATAACTTAAATATGATTAAAAACGAATTTGGATAGTAAAACTACAACATTTATTACAGGCACTGGTTATGAATGAGTAACACAGAAAAACACCAATATTTTGGGAAAAGTAATTTTACCGATGTTTTTACCTTGCCCGTACCATCAAAGATGGAAGGGAAAGGTATATTAAGGGGAAAATTTTGTCCGGCGTTGTCGTCGTCGTCGTTGTCGTCGTTGTCGTCGTCGTTAATAATTGTTATTGTGTGCATGATAACTTTACTAATTCTATTCCAAACTTCATCAAACTTGGTCACCTTGTTCATCAGTATAAAGTCTTCCCTGAGTTTGAACAACAGATGTCCTGTATGAAAATATCATGCAAAAATTGAGAAAAACTGATAAAATATTTTGACTGTTTCTACTTGACTGATCACT